CCCCAAAACCCCAAAACCCCAAAACCCCAAAACCCCAAAACCCCAAAACCCCTTTCGAAAAATCTACAGTTGCAATATAATAATTTTCTATTCAAAATGTCTCTTCGAGCCATTGTGGGTACGAATTTGTTTTTATATTATAGAAACCGTCATTCACATCGGAAAGTTCAGAAATATAGACTTCTTCAACCAAGGTCTATATTTCTTCAGGATCACACTGTATAATGAGAAAAACCAGGAGAGATACTTTGCAAGACCATATCAAATTACACAAGCAGGAGGGAAGAACAAGGAAGATGAGAAATTCATCATCGCTCCAGGTAGAATTAATGAAGACCTTTCTGCCTTCTGCACAAGTACCATGCTTGTTCGATACTCTGAGCAGGAAATCAACCTTAACGAGTATTGCATCTTCAGAACCGAGATAGATGTTGACGAAGACTATCTTGATACTTTATTTTATGTAGACGTTGAGTTAATGTTTTCTGATTTAAAAGATCTTGACCAGACCCCACAAATGATAAAAGATAACTGTGATAATATCGAGAATGATGCCGTATTTGAGTGTTCCCATCTTTGTCACTATAAAGTGAGCAGGATAGCTTATGGAATGTCTGAGTATGTTCCAATCATTACCGATAAACATTTCTACGCCACCACTGGATGCACTATTCACTCAACACTTATCGATTACAGATTCAGAGTCTCAGCTCAAGCCCAAAATAGAGTAGCTGGAGCCAAACTTCTTTACATGGAAAGCGGAATCCAAGTCAGATCTAAAACGCCCAAAGGCAAGAAAGGCAAGAAGAACAAAGCTCCAAAAGAAATCGGAGCTGACAAAGAAGGCTTCACCGACTACGACCACTGGGTGCCTAAGAGTGCTGCAGAGTTCTTGTTCTGTGATGAAATGGGTGAAATGGCCACTCGAATCGACCCTGAAGAAGCCGACTACCTGTACAATGAGTACACAAACATCATCAAGGGACTTTTCAAGAAACTTTCGAAGAACTACAACTCATTCGTCAGGAACGTTGTCAAAGACAAGAAGGCGCTTGCAGACAAAGGAATTCCTGAAGAAGCAGCGCGCTTGATTCCACCAGGATGTCACGATAAAGTGCAGAAGCTCAGAGAACAGTCAGCTCCAGAAGTCAGTAACGAAGATGAGGCTCCTGAAGAAACCAAGTCGATGACTCAACCAGCTGTAAGCGAAGAGTCCAAAGAAGCTTCTGCAGATAATGAGAATGATTATGAAGAAGCCAAAGAGATCCCTCAAGACCCAGGCGAAGAACACAAAGAATATGCAGAAGAAACCATTATTCTGTCAAAGAAGTCTAGTTCCGAGAATGACAAAGACAGGTTTGAAGAAGAGTTTGCTAAGCTCTCCAAAACTTGTGGGTCGTTCTCGACCAGAGTGAACCTGGACAACCCAGGAGAAGTTGCTACCAAACTCTTGATGGAAGTGAACGAATACTCATGCCAACTGTTCTCACTGTGGAACGACTACATTCAGCTTCTGATGCTGAACCAAGCCAAGACTGTGGAGTACTTCATGCCAGCTTATCACAAGTGTGTGTATGAGAGGTGGTGAGAAAGCATCTTCAGAGATGTCAACGTCAAGACTGACTTCTACCACTGCTCTGACAGCGCCAAAGTTGGAGAGAAACACATGAAGATCGCCAACAAACAGAGAAACAGTTCCCACTACCAGAACCTGACACCGTTGCCAGTTGAAGACTGAAGCATGTTTCCTGACTGTTTCACACATCCGATATTGTTCGAAGAGTGCTATGTCAAAGACAAGGACATGTTTGAAACTACCGAGCTTAAACGAGCCAACATCCAGCTTTCAGAGCTTGTTGAGCGTAACAACCGAGAGTCCCATCTGATAGTGCTGGTTCACGGATTCCAGGGCAACTCTGAAGACCTCAGGCTACTTCGTAACAACTTACTGGCCATTTACCCATCAGCGATCTTTCTGAGTTCGACATGCAATGAGAACGAGTCAGACTCCAACATCGAAGACCAGGGTCTCAGACTGGCCAACGAAGTGTCGAGTTTCTTGGATGACCACTTCGACTTATCAGATATCAAGCGCATCAGCTTCATCGGCCACTCGCTTGGAGGTGTTATCATCAGAGCGGCGCTGCCTTTTCTGGACCAGCTCCAGGATAAGTTCTACACTTACATGTCGCTGTCGAGTCCTCACTTGGGCTACCTGTACAGTCCGAAGTTCTTGGTGAGTGCAGGCATGTGGGTGTTGAAGAAGTGGAAGAAGTCTGACGCTCTGAAGGAGCTATCAATGTCAGATGCAAGCAACATGGAAGATACTTACTTGTTTAGGCTCTCTAAAATCAGTAAGTTAGAATGGTTCAAGAACATTGTGTTGGTGAGTTCTGTGCAGGACTCGTATGTAGCATTCGAATCTGCAAGGATACAGTTCAGAAAGAGCGAGCACAGCAGCAAGCCTAGCTCCACCAAGAATGCAATTTATGAACGTATGGCAAGGAACATTCTTGAAAATGTGCCTTTGAATATGATTTATCGATTGGATGTTAACTTCAAAATTCAAGAAAAGAATCTTGACAGTTTCATTGGAAGAGCAGCTCATATCAGGTTCCTCGAAAATCAGCCCCTAATGAGGATGATAGTCAGTAGATACTCTGAGTTCTTTGCTTAACTCGAATCTGGCAAATAATTCAATTATTCGAAAGCTTTAAGGGGTTTTGGGGTTTTGGGGTTTTGGGGTTTTGGGGTTTTGGGG